ATAGCCATGCTAAAGCCATTCTGTACCTGGGCTAATTAGAAGAATAGTTCCTGGTCTTCAATTGAAAAGGCTTTCTTTCTCTCCATTTTCTCTTTCCTTTTCTTTCCCCCCTCAGATGTTAATCTCTGTGGGCAAATTTATTGGAGCATGATATGAGATGTTAACGGTGCCTGTTGCAGATAAAATGGTAGAATTAATTAGAGCTTCTTTATTTTAGGAGACAATCTAGTTTTGAAAAAAGATTTGCGTATTGGGGATAATAGGAAAAAAAATTTAATACTTCTTGTCATCTGGAGACAACTTTAACCTGAATCATCAATATTTAGGGTCAGACTGCCTCAAACCATTTACAAGTGCACAGCATACAGGAGAACACAATTAGCCTTTCCTTTATCTTCTTTGCAAAATCCACAGAGTATCACAGTCTCCAAAGGTGCCTATGCAGCCACCAGATACAAGGCAGGCCATGGGTTGGGAGTATGCCCAAAAAGCACCATCCCGGGATTCTGCAGCTTGCATATGCGGTTGACACCACAGAAATTTACGTCAGTTCACATTCTAATTTGATCTGACATGAATTCTTCTCTGTATGGTTGGGCTGGAAATTTTACCTATCTTGTGGTGATGTGAGCAGTGCCATCCCACAGGGCTCTTCTAAGCACTAGCTAGACCAAATCTGTATATCACAGTGATGAACACTAAAAAGCACAGACTGATATAAGGCATTTGGACTTTTTCTGGTAACAGCAGCTGAGGAAAAAAATGTACTGAATGCTAAAATACAGTAACATCTGCTTTACAGGCCTACAAAAAAATGCTGAGTACAGTAGTCCTGTGTTCAGGGATTGCTTGTAACATACATCATCCATTTGAAGTTGAGCAATTGCCCTTGTCTTCTGCTGTCAGACAAAGATAGAATAATTCCTGGAACTTTGGTGTTCCTGTCATGACAGTTTGCTGGAAGCTCTTTATTGGGTAGAGACTTTATCAAGCCAGCCTGAACTTTAGGACACTCTACAAAGTATTGTGTGACTAAAAACCCCTGGAGAAAAGAGAAAAACAGATATTGTCTCACCTTGAGATCAAGTGTCTGACAAATGAGAAACTGGTGGACACAGGTTCTTGAAGATTTGGGTGATGTAACCCCTAATGTTTTTCCCAGGGAAATTTATCTATTAGACCTTCTATTAGGATGGCCATCATGAAAATCTCTGCAATTCAATGTTTGATGAGGGGGAGAAAGGCAGAAGGGTTGGTTGGATTTAGCCACGAGGAAATTGAGTGTTTTAAGAAATAAAAAAAATTGCAGTTCGGCAACTACAAGGCTGCTGCTAGATGAACTTAATTTCATAAGCAATATGTGAAAGAAATGAAGGTGATGGCAGCAATCAGCAAAAAAGTCAGCATAGAATTCAGAAGAGAAAATAGGATAGAAACCAATTAGTTGGCTGAAAAATCAGGAGATTAATCTGAGTAAATAGTCAGGCAGTTCCCCTGGGTCATTATAACATTTAACAACAATACCAGGATTTCACTGATGATGAAGAGCAAAGAGCAGAAAGAGTTACTTAGTGGCGTAGTCCTGAACAACAGGCTACCAGTGATGATAAAATCTGGAATTTTGTCCATCATAGAAAATAGAACAGTGAAAGATATGGAATAGCCTATTGAAAAGAGGAATGGACTAAGGATCAGAGCTTTTATTTCTGTGGAAGGTCTGCATGGTGACAGCAGAGAAGGTCTCATGCCCTGCCCCAGTTTCCCCACAAGCAAAGGATGCAGGAGCCTTGCACTTTGAGTCACAAGAATAGCCCTCACCAATCTAATTTGGAAAGTGAAAAACTCTCTGAACAAAAATGCCAAAAAATTTAATAAACTTCTTGCAAACAAGAATGAGCTCACAAAGTCTTCTTTCTAAAAGATATTACATTATGGGAGAAAAAAATGAAAAAGCACAAACATATATGTGAATTAAGTTCTTTGGGGGCAGATGCAGACAATTTACAGTGTCTTGGGCCTTCCCACTTGCTATTCAATCTCCAGGTAAAGGTTGTTCTCTAGAGGAGCACCCTGTGCAGACAAATAGCCAAATTTCAGGAACAGATTTTAAGGCTGTCTAGAACATGCAGCTGACTACTCGCACTATTTCCCAGTATATGTAAGTATGGAGGTGTGCAAGAATACATCTCAAAGTAGGTGGAGGTTTTTCTAGAGAACACTTCCCTCTGGCAATTGCTGACAGAGGAACAGCCTGTGACTCTGTTGCCAGGTGGAGGAAATGATAGCAACCCCTGTGGCTATTATTTGCTGCCATTAACAACATGGGCGATAGGTGGAAAGATAATGGAAAGGCAATGCCATCTCTCTGCCTTGCCTCCAACTGCTTAGCCTGAAAACCCAGCCTGATGTTTATAAAGTGTTCTCAACCTGTAATCTGCTAAATCCTGAGATTAAATAATTTTGCTCAAGGTTATAACTGGTTTTAAGTTGCACAGTTTAA